GGCAGGGGGCTGTGGTGGGGTGTGAGGAGCACCAGGAGGGCTGGGGGTGGGGGCTATGGGGGTGAGTGAGGGACACTGGCAGAGCCAGGGGGTTGTGGGTGGGGAGTGAGGGGCACCAGCAGGGCTGGGGGGCTGTGGCTTGGGGGTTATGGGCCTGGACTTGTCCTGGTGAATGAATGGGGCAGGGGGAGCTCTAATTTTCCATGATTAAAACCCCCAAATCAAATACCAATATGTATAGGTATTTAGGATTTATTTTATTATAGTGATTGAGGCACTGGTAGGCTTGTAAATTGTTTTAAAATTATAAATATATCAAGAAAACATTGTGTTCAACTGATGCATTTTATTTTATATTTGATGTGAGAGAGAATGTGTAGTTGCTTCAGATTTCAATCTTATGTTTTTTGCCTTTGGTCATCAAACTAAGCATTAAGCTACTCATCTACACATACGCATGGCTGTGACGAAAGTTTAAAAGGTATTTCATTTTTTTCCAAACAGTGGACAGAGAGCTCTGTTTTCAAGACACGTATGCTTTCTACCAGTTCTCAGCTGATGAATGTACCTACCTTTTCTGTGAATTCGAAAGAGATGAAGGATGGCAAAATGGTGTAAAACTGTTGTTGCAACTACTGCCACTTACTCCACCCAGGATTACTGCATGCAACCTGTAAGCATATCCTTTTTTTAACTTTATGGAATGCTCTGTAAATGACTGGGTTAAAATGAAAGAGTTTGCACAGAACTGTGTACATTAGTAATAACTCCCATTTTAGGGTGCCTTCTAGCATAGATATGTTTCATGATACTTAGCATCATGATTAGAAAATCAGTGCAGTCAAATGCAGAGGGCACCCAGCTCTTACATTACCTTGCCATGTGACTTTAGGAAAGTTATTCCACTCTTTTGTGCTGCTTTATTGCTTCTCATTCTTTGTCTGTCTTGCCTATTTAGAGCAGAAGATTTATGAAGTTGGGATTGTGTTTCTGTAAAGCTCCCATCATAATGAGGTGTCAGTCTTGATATTTTATTTCAAATAATTAATACTATTACTGAAATGTAAGTAATAACTGTCCTCTTTGCTGGTAGAGATACTTTTCTCTATAATTTCTTTTCCTACTTCTTGACTTTTAAGAGGATCTTTAATACAGCAAATTTCTAATAGCAACATTAGAAATGAGCAGAATGGCCCTGTTTCTTTGGACCCCAACTTTCAAACTTGGGTCTCTAAATTTGGATAGTATAACAATTAGCCTGCTTTGTAGAGGTGCTGAGGAAAGCAGACCTGAATTTTTCCAACAAAATGCTCAGAGCAGGGACTTCAGCACAGGCTTGTACCTTTTTGTAGGTAAGTCCTTTGCCTACCAGGATACTCCAGAGTTCTGTCAGGGGTTCTCTTGATCTCTCCATTTAAATAGTCTGTTTTTTTTTTTTATAGATATTCCTGGGACACACTGACTAGACCTTAGTGGTAACAGCACCATGTGCACACAGGTAGAGCAGGGACGTGAACTTTGGTCATTTACATCCCAGATCTGTATGCCAAGGGGGGGGAGCATTTTCACAAAATAAAATGTTTGGTTTTTAGGCAGCCTCAGGGGTGGGCAACTCTCACTGATGTGCAGTAAGACTTTCCTTTTTGACTTTTACTAAGAGTTGTGGTCTTTATTATCTCTGAAATTCAGGCCATTGGTTCATGCCTATTCTCTTGAAGGTTTTGAATCAAATGGATACACCAGAAAGTTCTGATGTGTACTCTGTGTAAAGGGTGCTGGGAAGGAAGATGGACTGGAAGATTTTATAGTCCTACTGTTCCAGTATTAACTGTCAGTTCTAATGCAAGTTGTTACTTGTCTTATGTTCTATTTGGTTATTCATTAATGTACATCTCTGGCTTATTCCTGCTCACTTTATTCAAATTGTAGTTGAAGTTGGTTTTCTTTGGGGAGCGCTGTCACCGAAGACTTCTTTTCAGAAGGCTTTTCCTGTCACATTGTCAGGGTTTCTTTTTTTTAATAAATATTGAAGGAAGAGAGTTTTGAATAATGGTATCAGCGTCAGGGGAGGATGATATTAAATAGAAAGTAGGTTTTTCCAATTTGAGAATTCTCACTGCTTGACGTGAATAATAACCTGCTAAAATATAATCCTTAAAGAATAATGGATACTATGCATGGTGTTTACCAAAGTTAACTGTTCACTCTAAATAAATTAAAATGCCAAGTTTTACTTCAAGGCAAAAAGCAATTCTGAAAATCACTTGGCCTGAGATTTTTTTTGTAAGCATTTGTCTATATACATGCACTATTTTTTTTTCTTTTAATGCTTCTGCATTTGTCAAAAGGATGACTGAATACATTGAGCTCATTAGAGGAAAAAGGTAGGAGTAGGAGCACGGAAGAGCTGATAGATGGATGAAGACAGGCGGTGAAGCTTAAAGGAACCAGTGTTTTTCTTTCTCCAACTCCTCTTTTTCTTTGCTCATACTAACTGAGATGGTCTACACACATACTGTTCCAGAAACTGAGTAAGACTACAGTTACAGATTGATATCTGCTGTACTAGTTTTGCTTTGATAAACTTATACCAGGAATGATTTGTCCCATTAAACTTAGGATGCCATCATTTTCTTCATTCACATAGGAAGCCTATACACAAGTGCAGAGGCTGCTCTGATATGCTGGAATTCCAGTGCGTTGGAGCAGACTCAGTTAATCAAGTCTGCTGGAGCATGGCAAAACCATACTCCAGCAGCCTCTTGCATCTCACGTATCAGTGTCCCCATGCTTAAAAATGGCTGCATGGGCACTTGAGCTAAAGCTTGTTTTAACCCTGCTTTAGTTCAAGCACCCCTGCTACCATTTTTAAGTGTGGGGATACATAAGATTCAGCAGCGGTTTAATTAGAGCAGCTCCAAGCATATAGAGACTATAGACAAATGCTTACAAACATCTGAGTGATTGTCCCCATCTCAGTGATTATCAGAATTGCTCTTAGAGCCGGTCTAATTAAAGCACCTCCCTCCAC